GCTAGCATAGGGGTTAGGAGAGAAAGAGAGATTTTGGCACAAAAAGAGAAAACAAAAATGAAGTCTCGATTGCATTCCAAACATTTCCTGTTGGAAGATTTTGTGAAATAACAATTTAAATCTAGTCACGTACCAAAACTGAACAAAGACGGTACAAGGAAAGAATGATATACCATTGTCACTTATGAACATGAATGAAAAAATTCTTTAAAAAATACAGACAAATCAAGCTTATCAGCGCATAAATATATAAGACATCACGACCAGGTGGGGCTTAATCTAGTAATGTATCTATGATTCAAATCAGAATGCCTATTAATACAATTCACCAGTATGAATAGGAGAGAAATCATATGCTAATACTCTTAGAGGCATATTAAGCATTCAATAAAATCCAATTCATTCACAATAATATCCTAGCAAAACAGGAAAAAGTGTTTATCCAAACCCCAGAGCAAACATCATACTTGATGGTAAAACAGTTAAAGCATTCCTGCTAATGTCAGAAAGAAGATACAGATGCTAACATCTAATCAGCATTATATGGTGGGACTGACTCAAAGTAATAAGACAAGAAAAAAAAAAAAAAAGTTAAAACTGTAAAGGAAGACAAAAAAAATTTCTCCTCATTTTCAGATACCACTGTCTACATAGAAAATAAAATTTAAAAAATATCTATAAACCACCACTAGAACTAGTGTGAAAGTTTAGAAAGTTAGTTGGATACATTATCAACATATAAAAATCAAAAGCATTCCTAGGTGACAATGATAGCCAACTAAAAAATAGAAAATTTAACAATGACATGTGTGAAAATGATAAAGAAATTATAAAACATTATTATAGGACATTTAAAAAGGCTTGATTAAAGAGATATATGTTTACGGATGGGATGACTCAATATTGTAAAGATGTCAATTCTGCCAAAATTAATCTATAAATTAAATACCAATTTCAATAGAAAGGATGTATTTTCAACCAGTGGGGATGGGCCCATTGGCTAGTCATATGAAAATAAGAATCTGGATTTCCTAACATGTACTATACTTCCATCAATTTTAGTTAAATTAAGGATACATGTAAAAAGCAAGATTTTAAGACTTTTAGGAAAAAATTAATTTATGAACTGAGGAGATAATTTTTAAAACACAACACAAAACCCACATACTATAAAAAGGATATTTATTTAGTGTAGTTAAACTTATGTATCATACAGCTTCTTTTCAAAGAAACCACAGTTAAAGTTAAAAAAAAAAAAAAGTCTCATACTAGGACATGATTTGCAACTTACATAATCCACAAGGATCACCAGCCAGAATTCATCAACAACTCCTATACAACAATATGAAAAAGAACCATCTTGACAGACAAATGAGCAATGAATATGAGCCGATGAATAAGAAACGATCCTGGGTCTTACTGTAATCAGCAAAAGACAAAGTAATATATTCCCCCAATGGAATAGTACACAGTAGTTAAAATAAACACTATAGCTATAAATAGAGCTATAAATCTTAAAAACTGAGTGAAAAAGGTTTGTAAAAAATTGACACAATTTATGCTATGTTTGAAATAAGCGAAAGCATGTTACATATTTTAAATAAATACTTACAAATGTAGTCATGGCAACAAAATCATACTTGGGAATGAAACACCAAGTCTTGGATAGCAGTTACAGTTATGGTGGCATATTGAGCCAGATTACACTGGCTTGCCTGAGCCAATTCTGCATATCCCTTCCTAATTAATTCCGTGTTCAGTGATGTTTTGTCAGGAGCTTGACATCTGCTGTGCTGGAAGTGTTTGCACCATAGTAATTGGCAAACACTATCAGTCTCAGGTTCCCCTCCCTTGTCCTCACCCTGGAGAACTGGTTTACCATCCCTTTGCCATTTTCCCAGAGTGAGATGCAATTGAGGGGAGTACACATGGGGCTTCAACCTTATTTGTAATGTCATTTCACTTTAAAGAATTTCTAGAGCAAATATGGCATAAGGAAAGGCTTTGACAGAGTGGGGGTGGGTCTGGGTGCTCATCATATTATTCTATGCTTTTCTGTATTTTGGAAATATTTCCTGAAAAACAAAATCTAGTCAGTTGAATTTTTCAGGTCAGCATAAAACCATTTCCTTTTTGCCCTCTTTAATTTTGCAGATTTAAATCTTGCTTAGTTGGTCACAATAATATTATATGATGTTGAAAAACCTGGACCTGAACTAATAATAGAAACTTTAAAATTACTTCAAGCCCACACCATAGATTTGCTGGAAATCAACTGATGTGGGGTGGTATATAATCAAGGATTCATAAGAGGCATTAACATAAAAAGTCACATCAGTACTTATTTAACCAAATATAATAGCAAAGACATCTGAGCTCTAAATTTAGACTCCAGATTTAAGAGAAAGAAAATAAAAATGAATAGGCACAAAAGAGTACAGACAATCCAACTATAAAAGTTTAACAAGGAGATATTCTTGAAAATAATAATAATAATACCAATGGAGATTTGACAAAACCAGGTATTCAAAATAGGCTGGGCTGGATTTCCAGCTCTATGTCCTTGAGCAAAGGACTTTCTACACTGTACAACTGATTCCCTGTCTGTCAGCTGTGCCCCCGTTTCTAAGCTGTGCATCTGATCTGTCTCGGAGAGCTAAGAGGATTAAATGAGGTAATGCATGCGCAGGGGGCCACATACATGTGATCTACAAAAGGGACAGGCACACCGAATTGTGCCACTGCACTGACGCCTCACATGTCATCATCAAGGCACTCATTCACTCTGACTCTGGTGATTTTAGGCACATCTCACTTCCTCATTGAGAAGACGCCAAAGAGAAAAGAGCAGAGGACCCATTCAGGACCAGAAAGGTCTCCTCAGTCTCCCAACTGCTGCAGCCTGGGCTCCACCGCCAAGGCCCCATGTTGCTGACACAGGCGCGGCTCCATTCTTATCTTTAAATTAGGAGACACATGAAGATTTGGACTCCAGGGAGTGGAAAACCCTTCCCGGATCATGTCGCAATGGGTTTGGAGTTAGAGAGGCCCAGATGAAGTACATAAGGGGATCACACACATGAAGCTCTACAGCCTCTGAAGTAAGCCCTAGATAAACAGTCCCTGCCATCAGCTTATGGCCAAACCACAGGGAGGCATGGGCCAGGGCCTCCCAGCATCTGGCCTCAGCCCTCTTCCCAGCTTGCAGAGTCACTGGTGGGCTCTGGAAGGCTCGAGGACTTTACCGTCAGTGACCACAACATGGGGAGGGGGAGCTGCTCTAACACTGATGCATCTATATTCCCTAGTTCAGCTTTTTTATGTCCTTTATTTTCTTATTACTGTGTTTATTTGATCTAGACAGTGTTTCTCAACCGTGGTGCACATTACAAACATCCAAAGACTTTAAAAAATTCCTGATGCCATGGCCCCACACCAGTCCAATTAATCAGAATTTCTGGGGGTAGGATCCACCATATATATACATTTTTTTTAACAAAAGCTTTCCAGGTGATTCCATCCAGTGTGCAGCCCGGGTTGAGAACCACCGGTGGTCTTGGAACATGCAAACTGGTTTTCAAAGTCTACTGAATCAGGTGACAGAGATGTTGCGACACTGGCATTTTTGACATCCTAGGTTTTCAAAACGGAAGGAAGAGCTGATGCAATTTGGAGAACACGTCTCCCAGAGGACAGACTATGCTAGGGGTTAGGGACTCACAGGTGGTAAAGGAGATGTGGATCCTGCCCTCAGAGAGCTCACATGTACCAATTTCATGTACGAAAAGGGGGGGGAGGATTTGTAATTTGCATTGTGGTTGAGTCACACGATGACAGGACACTGTAGAACTTCATAATGGGATTTTACTGTAACAAAATCAATGTCACTGGTTAATATTTGGGTGTTTACTCTGTGCTGACAGTGAGCTAGGCACTTTAGGGGGATCAGCTCACTGAAGCTTCACAATAACCCACATGAGGTAGATATTCTTATTTTTTCTATTCATTCATTCATTCCACAAAAGTTCTGATGCTCAGTATGGGCCAGGCGTTGTTTTAGGTACTTGGGCAGTAAAAAACAGATGGATCCCTGTCCTCAGCTGCAAGTGGGGGTGGGTGGGGAAGAAACAAACAAGAGACTTAACCAAAAAGCCAATCATATCATATGTTAGAAAATGCTAAATTCCAGGAGAAAAAGAAAGAACAGCACAGGTAAGGGGTGTGTGTGTGTGTGGGGGGGTGTCAGGTGAGTGCATTGAGACAGGAAGAGTTGAGCAAAGACATGAACTGAGGAAGTTATTTATTCTACCCCATTAAAGGCTCACTGAAGGATAGATCCATGGCTCAGCTGGGATGCAAACCCAGATGCTCTGGAAGCCAGAGTCTGTGCTCTTAACCTGCCTACTACCTGGTCCCCCAAAAGGGTGACACTACATTATAATAAGCGACTTGGCTGCCCAGCCCCTTCAGCTCCCTGTCTGTCTTGTTTACAATGGAAATTGTCTAAGCCCAGTGCCTACGACATAGTAGGGACTTCGTACATGTTTGAATTATATTAATCATTTTTAATTTTAATTATGAACTAATATGAATTAATATGTATGACTTAAAGTATTTATTGTGTGTTTACTGTGTCCTGGCCACTTCCTAGGCAGAAGAAATTTCTTAGAAAGTGCAGTGGAGGTGGGGCTGCTGCAGACCAAGCCAGCACAGGTTTCGGATGCTCTGTTCACATGAGGCTGTGGAAGACAGACGCCAATGCTGTCAGGGCAAACGGCTCTCCTCTGAGCCAGGAGGACTGAACGGGACAGGATACTGAATCCGTTCGAGGCTCGTACACAAACAAGAGTGCTTCCAGCTAGCAGACTTCACGGCATGAGAGCCCACGCCACTTTATGAAGTCAAATCAGGGGTTCCCGGCAAAGTCTCCTTAGGCCGCATGCACTGAGAGGAAGTCCTGATGTCCTGATATGAGAACAGTCTTTGGAGTAGCCACTTACCTATTGAAGTGGTAGATGTCCTGTATGTTCCCAAAAAGGGCGGATCTTTCTTCCGTCCCCAGAGGAAGTTTCGTCTGGTCCCGGATGCAGTCCAGGTAGTCCTGAGACATCAACGAGAAGCATGTCAGACACTGCTGTCCTCCAAGTCGTCTCTAGTTTTAAGCAGTCATCATGCTAACGCGCTCACTAACTCTACTATGAGAATACGGAGTCTCTCTTTTATTAATGATGATAATACTTAACATATTTATATACAATGGGGATTTTGAGCAAAGAGAAAGAGTGTCGTATACATTAATTATCAACCCCCCCAAATGTATTAGAGTCTCCCTAGTTGGATAATATCATGACCACAGTTACCAACAGAATCAGAGAGTTCACACAGAAACATCGTCTGCTGTTTCCTTGAATGATATGATACAATACCATAATATGGTAGAAGATACTCCAAAATTCATACAGTGAAAACTGGAAATACAGATCTTAAAATTTCTCATCACGAGAAAAATAATTTGTAACTATGCAAGGTGATGGATGTTAACCTAACTTTGGTTAACACACTGTATACAGTTAGCACACCATAACACTACATATATATGTTGTATACTTAAACTAATACAATGGTATGTGTCAATTATATCTTAATAAAACTGGAAAAAAGTGACAGAATTGATGTAAATATAACTGCTAAGTTAGAAAGAACTCAGTTATTAAAGTATGGAACTAAATTCTTCCCCAAATACTAATTTATAAAAAAAAAACAAAAAACAACAACAATTTTTTTTTTTTTTTACAAAGGCTCATAACTCACTTAGGCTATCTAACAGGCTATGGTAAGGACGCACAGAAAACTTTGAAATGATTTTATCTGTTTTAACACAGGAACAGCCGCGCACAGAGCTAACGGCTCAGGCCCACGGCGGGTTCAGTGTCCGTGGGGAGCAGCCCTCTGAGCCGCTGAGAGAGGGAAAGTCCTTGGGGCCTGTGTGCTAAGGAGTTCATAAGGGAGCGTCCCCCTTCCCTCCCGGCAATGCCTGAAAGAACAACTCTGCGGGAGGCCAGAGACAATAAAGAAACAAGTGAAAACAGCTGAAATAACGTAAAATGAAAAATAAATACAATCCCCTGCGCTGGGCTGAACGATGTGGCACACCCTCCACCCAGCGCCGCAAGGGCTTCTGCGGGGTTGAAGGGGGCAACCCTGTGAGAATCAGGCAGACCGTGAAAACCCAGCGCTGGAGCCTCATTCCAAAGTCCAGTCGCAAACACAATAGGATTTAGACGCAGCTAGCAAAAGGCGAAACTGAAATTGAAGAACCATCAGATAATCGCTTCTTTTCTTTTAATAATCCTCATTCGTTCTACGTGCGCTTTATGTCCCGCAGATGAGAAACAGGCAGGGTTTCGTCATTAACCTTCTCAGTAGCACATTTCACAGATGGCATCAAATAACTTTCAGACATTCGAGGTTTTCAGCATTAAGATCACTGTCAGGCATGAACCAACGTTCATATTTTCTTTTCAAACGCCCTTTGTGGTCACATCTGTTCTACTTAAGAAAGTGGTCATCTCAATAAGAAATTAGCTTCACAAGGTTTAAGTGCAGTTGTCATTAAAAACCCACAAGAGCAAGGCCTAGTCTCCGTACTTTTATGAATGGAACAATTTTATAAGAGGCCTGGGTATCTGCACAGCATACAGAGTTAGTACCCAAATAAGAAATGCTGAAGGAAGTTAGAATTGATGTGACAGCATTTTGAACATGTAAAACCTAAACTACATTTCCTCAAAAAGAAAAATACATGTATTCATTGATATTTTCATAAAATTATACGTGGCACATGGTCCCAAAGGATGGGCTAACATTTAACTTACACTGAGTGGTTATATTTGATAGTTGCTTAATACTCTGATCAACATTTTAAAAGGACAAATGGTACATAAAATTAAGATGGTAGAACTGAAGGATATGAATGGGTATGAAATTTAAAAGTAAATCAGCCTTGGCTGGTGTGGCTCAGTTGGTTGAGTGTCATCCCATCCACCGAAAGGTTGCAGGTTTGATTCCCACCCAGGGCAAATGCCCAGGCTGAGGGTTCGATCCCTGGTAGGGGTAAGTGCAGAAGGAGGCAACCAATTGACGTTTCTCTTTCTCTCCCCCCCCTTCTCTAAAGTTAACAAAAACATTTTTTAAAAAAGTAAATCAGAAGGCAATGGATGGGCATGACCTGCACCAAGAGGCAGGACGCAGGGAGGGACGGAGGTGGCGGACACATGCCAACTCCATCTGGCTCACTGCTATAGGGTTTAATGAGAAAACCAACAATCCTTTTTCTCACTTCAAGTGCGAAGCTTGCTCACTTGCCGAAACCTGAAACTAAATTCTTCATGCGAGGAAAAGCTTGAGTTAAGGGGCTTGAAGAATTTCATCTGGGGCGAGAGAAAAAGAACTGTGGCCCCCTTCCAACAAAGGATGGCCCGTCGCCAACTGAGAGCCTTTCAAACCCCAGAGTCCGTGGTAGAGAAACTAGGTTGTAAAAGCTGCCTGTTTTCTGAAATAGTTCAGAAAATAGATCCCTAGGAGTCCAAATTTTTCCAGGCCACTCTAGAAAACAGATAAAAGTTGGATGGCCACAACTTGTACACCCCCTCCCCCGCCGTGGATCATAGTTAAGTCCTTTAAATACGATACTTTAACCCTAAACCGGTTCCTGAAAACTACTGTAGCATGCACTGCGTTAGCTGCTATAATTATCTGAGGCCAAAATGAGAGGTTTGCAGCTCAGTGATGATAACAGCTCATTCTGTGCTCAGATGACAGAGCAAGGACACCAAAAAATCTATTAGAGCCTGTCATGCTGCTAATTAATTTTATTGGCTTGATGTTCTCGCCTATTGCTACCCTACTGTTAACAAGCAAGGGCCCAGACCCATTTACAACTTCCGCACTGAAAATGACTATTCTCTGAGACGATCAAGAATTCACTCCACTTTGGGGAGAAATACCCACAAAAAGAACTTTTCACCATTTGGAGAGTTGTGTTCTATAGTTTCAAATTTTGCCTAAAGTATTTATTTTCCTATCAATTTATGCCCTTAAGATCTTCACCGCTGTAGTGTTTATACATGGGTGTCCTCTTTTCATGAACTTTCCCATTCCTTGCAAGGTCTGTTATTGAAAATATACAATAATCTAATTTGGTGCTATTTGAGGGGTAAACAAACAGGAGCCCGTCTGCACGTTGTTGGTTACTGATCTGCAACAAGGTCAGGGTGGAATCGAGAGGAAGCATGTAGGAACTTTCATAGTATTTTGACAGGATGAGATCTGTCGAATCTAATGATACATCTGGACTTGTATTTTGACTGATTTCTTCTATTTATTTTTCTAGTAATTCTTTTTGTTATTGTATTTTTCAAAAGTGTCAGTGTGACTGATTGGAAAGCACACGCACACACGCGCGCCCCCATCCCCCCCCATGGTAGGTAGTTTGAGAGGCCTCGGCCTGGAGAACCATCCCGCAGAGATGCTGTAGAAACTGGGGAAGAATTAAAATTCAGATTCACATTCAAAGAGGATCTGTTTGTAAATCCTGCTCACATTTCAAAATCCTACCTACTGATTTTATGGTTTATTCTTTTTGATCTAATTCCTGTCATTAGCGTTTCCAAATTCCAAGTCTTGATATAGCTACTATTTAAGACTTCTTGTCTTTATTTTGGACGAAGGACCCTCTGCTTTTCCAACTCCTCCGCCTTTTCCAGAAACCACTCATCTCTTTATTTGAAAACCTGCCTTCCAAATGCCAAGTGTGACACTGGGGTGCCGTGGGTACAATAACTTACCCTTGTACACCAATGTACAGTTTAAAAGCCCATTCACATTCATTCCTACAAGAACCCTCCTTCCCCCCTTTTTCTGAGGACACAAGCACTCCTGCCAAGTTCTGTTTTACAAGCTAGGAATTTAAAAAATGAATAAAACATGATCGCTTCCCCCAAGGAGCTCCCTGTGTAGTTGAAAGACAAGTATAAACAAATAAGTACAATACAGTGTTTAGGCCACACGGCTGGTAAATATTCAGCAGTGGGAGAGAGGAGGCCCAGGAGGAAGCGGCCGATTCCAGGGCAGGGAGAGGCCGCACGCAGGAGGTGACGCGGAGCTGAATCTTTATGGATGATCAGGAAGCTGAACGTAGAGAAAGGAGTGGGATGGAGATGACAACATCGGGATAGAAAAGAGTAAACAAAGGCACAGGGTAAGGACCCTGGGAGGAGCTGAGAGGAGCTGCAGGGGGCAGGGCACGTGCACACACACCCAGATGGGGAGGTGGCGCTGGGATGGGCGATCAGGCTGGAGTGAGGACAGGTCTGATGGCCGAGAATCTTCCACATTCTGTGGGTGGTACAACCACCAAAGGGTGTAATGAGACCAAAGGCCATCCCCGCGTCGGCAAAGAGAAAACGACAGAGGCTATAAAACTGAGGGTGGGGAGGCAAGTTGGGCCAGTGCAACCTGCAGGGGAGCTGAGGCCAAGTCCTCAGCAAGTTCCTCGGGGAGGAGTGGTGTTGAGCTGGTGAGGAGGGTGAGTCGCGGGGGCTGTCTGGGCTTTCAGGACAAGGGAGCAGGGCTCCCCTCTTTTCTCTCACGTCCCGCTTCAGGCATGAGGGGTGCCGCTCCCGAGTTAAAAGGCAGTGAGGCCGCTCCCTCTGGGAAGAATCGGCCAGAGCTCATCCTTCCGATTTTCTTCCCCAGGTGGCTGGTGGGGCAACGGGGCGTAGAGCCGCCTCTGCTGCTGGGGCTGCAGCGACGGTGGCCAGGCGGTTCCAGGCCTCCCTGGCAAGCTGGTGGCCTCTGCACGTGTCTTCCTCACACCCAGATAAATACTTAGAGACGCCTCTGGGGATCTGCGGTGAAAGGAGACAGGGCTTATCTGCTGGCCCGCTCATCTAGATGGTAGACGGCTGGGGCTCCCTATCTTGTTCTCGTCAGGGTCAGAGCTCTGAGGGGAAAGGCGGGTTTTAGTTTCCAGCCATTGTCCTCTGCACAGACAGAGCCCTCAGGGACCGTCGTGACAGACAGCACTGGTTCAGAGCCCCA